CAGTAACTGTCTAGAGAAAGTCCCTGGAAAGAGTAGGAAAGTAAGAGCTAGGAAGACTCTAAAAGAGCAGTCAGAAAGTATTGCAACAACAACAAAATAGAAGACCAGTTTGTTCTGCACCAAGATGGCAGCACTGACTATATTTGTGGCAGTTCCAATTATATTTAAAAGTTACAACCATGATTTTCTAATGGATCTTATAGTAGGGCTAGAGAGGGGGAATCAAAGGTAACTCCAAAACCTATGTCCTGAACAAGCAGAATAATGTAGACACATTTACTACACCTGGTATGTAAGCTGAAGAAACCTATTTGATCAAGAAAATAATGATTTTAGTTTGGGAAATACTGCTTAAGATAGCCATTATCTAACAATGTGCAGATGTTAAATAAACAATTAGATATGTGATTGTGAAGTTCAGGGAAGACGTTGTAGTTGATACAAACTTGAAAGTGAAATCAGCAGGGGATGGGTGGTGCATGCCTGTAAATCTGGAACTTAGGACGTAGAGGCATGAGGATCAAGAATTTAAGGCTGGCCTCAGCTACATAGCAAGTTAGAGGCCATCCTGAGCTACATGAAACTCTTTCTCAAAAGTAGAGAGATAATAAACAATCTCCTAAGTGCTGCTTGTAGCAGACTTTTAGAAATCTCAAATAAATTGATTTCTCATCACTTGACTATGGATCTGCTTCTGTTCCTTTATAACAAACTAACAGTGCTATTTCTTTCATATGCTAAACTATAGTCTAGACTCAACTGACAATTTGGTGTTTGGCTATATGAACTACCTACAAAATAGAAAAAAAATGTTTTTCCTAGAATTGAAAACAAGTTTCATATTGATCATCTTTACACACAATCCAACCAAAATCTGAGTAGTAATAGCTTCGTCTCTATAAATAAGAATCACTTTCCTAAAAGAAGGCTTAGGTGAAATTTAGAAACCTACTTCATAAAATACAGTACTACTGTATTATTGGGATAAACAAAAAGGGAAGAACCTCTAGAGAGGTCAACCTTACAAGCAGTTTGAGGTATCTTTTCAGAGTATTCCAAAACATGGATCACTTTTTGTTATAAATCACCTTCATTAACAAATCAAGTGTTTCTGTAATAGCTATGCCATTCTTGGAGCATGAATAACAGCCTGGAAACACTGGCAAGGAGAAAACTCTCAAAAATATTGGCTTGTAGGGCTGGAGTGATGGCTCAGCAGTAAACAGCACGTACTGTTGCTGAAGAGGACCTCGGATTCCCAGCACCCACAGTGGGCTCACAACCACCTAAAACTCTAGATCCAGGGGATCCAACTCCCTTTTCTGGTCTTTGCAGGGACCTGCATACATGTGGCATACATTCACACACACACACACATATACACATAAATAAAAATAAAATAAATCTAAAAAAAATTGCCTTTGCTTGAAGAACCAATACTTTCACTGAAAAGTAGTCGTTCCCTTTATTTTTAAAACAACAAAGACAAATACATTTTAAGGAAGAGTAGAAATAACCATATATAGAGGCTATTCTGAGAGAGGCAGTGGCATGATGGAGAGTGTAGCTTCTGAAGCTAGGTTACTGGCATTTTAATTGCAACTCCTCTCTTGGAAACTGGGTGATTTATTTAACCTCCCTATTGTTTAGTTTTCCTTTCAGTTAAATACTACTGCTACCGTACTTCATTGGTCTGCTTAAGTCAACCCTGTATAGTTTCAGCAGTACAGGGTAAGAGAAAAATAAACATTTCCAACATTTCAATTATGTGCTCTGTACTTATAAACACCAATCCACAGTGAATGGGATACACCTAAAACAAAATGACAGTGTCCGCTAACTGCTCATTCATTGGACACATGAAAATCTGATGAACATTAAATAGAATACTCTGGTTGTCTTCCCTGATTACTCTGAACAGTGATTTGTATCTAAACCATTTTGCCCTAATATTCTTATTCTAGTGATTATAAAAATGAAACTAGCACACATAAATATAAGTATTTAAGTACATAGTAAGGATGCTATTATTTGGTCTAGTAATAAAACTACTGACCTGAAGTAGATACTTTATGCTATAGCAATTTAGATATCACGTGATTTATCTCATGATATGAAAACAGTCATGTGATGATAAAATCATTTGGTATACTGACAACTTTGAAAAATAAAATGATATAATGTTATGAAAAAAGGCACAGTAAAAAAGTTTACCTGACCAGTTTACCTGATGTCAAGCTATAATCTTCAACATTACCACTATCAGCTAACAATTACTCTGTGTCTAGAACTATAGTAATAAATGTCAAAAAAACATTTACACAGCTGAACCATACTCTATTATCAATGGTAAACAACAGAGTAATAGTCTATTGGGTAAACTCAATAGAGTAATCAAGCTATCATAGTGCAAAATGAAGCTATGAAGACAAACTTCAATTTGCTTATGTAAGGGATGAACAGAGGTAAAGTGGTTAACAGGCATGACAGCTGCATCATTTGATAGGAACACACAAATTTCAAAGTAGAAAATTAAGCTTTAATTATTAAAGTAAGCTGAGGAGATGCTGAGTAAACAAAGGGCCGTATACTTTCCCATAAGCTGTGTTACAGCAGCTGTATGACTGGGGCAGGAACCAACACGGTACATGGCTTGTTACTCTTCAATTCTACTGCCCTTGTGCTCTTTTTCTGGTTCCATAGACAAGTTGATTATATGTAATTTTTACTCAAAAAATCTTAAAGGTTTAAAAAAAATGAAGTTAAAATTTCATTTGATTTTGCCACATTTGTCACTAAGACAAAAACCTTTCTACTACAAATCCATATTGCTTATAGAGCTGAGCATGATATTTAAGCCCGTAACCCCAGCTTCTTGGAAGGCTGAGGCAACAGGATTAAAAGTCTAAAGGCAGCCTGAGTAGAATAGTAAGTTCCAAACCAGTATGGGCAACACACCAAAACTCTGCCTCAAAAAAAAAAACAAAAAAAAAAACAAACATCATATTGCTTTTAGGTGTCTCACCTCCTTAGTTTATGATGGTCTATGAGAGTTCCTTAGTTATTCCTTGTTTTGTGGGATGTTGACCTTCCCACCCCACCAGGTAGGTTAAAAAAGGAAAACAACCCACCTACTTGGTTTTTTCAGACAGAGTCCTGCTAAGTAGCCCAATCTCACCTTGAACTCAAACTGGAGATCCTCCTGTTTCAGCATCTCAAGTGCTGAGATTATCAACACGTGCCACTGCACCCAGTGATGACATGAAATACATCAGTTAACTGCATCCTAGAAGGACCTTGGTTCACATTCTTTTGATGTTTCCTCTTGATTAATCTTAACTTGTTTTGTCATGGTTGTTGTTTGATAAGAATACCACAAAAGTCATGTACCCTTCCTTGAACTTCAACCTAGGGGTTACATTATATTGATATCTCTTATTATAGGTAAAGTTTGACCTTGATCACTTGGCTAAGGCGGTGTCTCACAGGTTTCTTCCCTCTGAAGGGACTACCATTTCTTATATACCACACATCTCCACACAGAAACTTTGATACTATGTAAATACCTAATTTTCAATCTTAGATGTTTGTTTGGGATTTTAGAAGGAACTAAAACATGGGAAATATCATGGACAAGTTGTTTTGATATACTTAAATTCTACTTAAGGAAACATTTTTCTTTTTTTTTATGTGTTTGAGTGTATTGCCTACATGTGTGTAAGTGTACCCTTGTCATGCAATGCCCACAGAGGACAGAAGACTGTGTCAGATCCCTTGGAACTGGAGTTACAGATGGTTATTAACTGCTATGTGGGTACTGGGATTCAAACCTGGGTCCCCTGCAAGAACAGCCAATGTTCTTAACCACTGAGCCATCTCTCCAGCCCCACATATTTTTCTTAAATTCAAAGTATGAATAAAGATTCTTTTTCTTACTGTACTACTGACTGGCCAGGCAAGATATGTCCACCAGTACAATCATGGAGAGTCTGTTATACAGGCAGTCAACTGCTTTCTGATTGGATTTGAGGCCTGCTCCATGGGAGGGAATTGACTTCTAGTACTGTCAACCTGGTCAAAAATCCCATGGCTGGGAGATTATGAGCACTAGTGGGAAAACTACAGCTGTTATTTTGCTAAAAGGGTATGATGCACCTGTCACCATGCCCTCTAATTTTATTTGTTTGTTTGCTTGTTTGTTCTTGAAATAATTACATATATGTCCATATGTTAGTGCTGCTGTCAGCTCTGATCAGAGAAGGTTCTTTTTACAGCAGGAAGCAGTAACTGTAGAGATTCATAGCTGGTCAGTCTATTGAGAATAATTGACTGCTTGCTGAATGCTGAGTTATAAATGGGATATTTATATCATTTGCTCCAAGGCTCAGGAAACATCATGGAAGAGAGGGCACAAAGAATGTAAGAACCAGAAGACAAAGTAGAGTGTTGTGGAACACTGTCTTCTGGGCATCATGTGGCTAATCCACTCTTGAACTCATGGTAGCTATGATTAATTGCACAACATCTGCTCAAAATTGGGCCCATCGACATCCGGTCATGAGAGGGGAAGGGTTCAGAAGGCCCCACCCTCCCTGAGGAAATATTGGCAATGAATAATTAGTGAGAGACGGGGAGACATTTTCTCTAATGGTGTAGCCACTGGTGGGGTAAATAACCTCTCACCCATGCTCTTACAAGTGAGTCTACTGAAATTCATTGGGTCACCATCAATGACAACAATGAAAGACATGTAAGTGTGGTGGGGGACTAATTAAGAAGAAAAAGGGGATTAAGTGGAGTGGGAGGGGACAAGAGAGGCAATGTGGAGGAACATCATCAAAATATATTACATACATGTATGAAAACATCGTAAGACTCACTCTGTACAGTTAATGGATGCTAATAAATACATTTAAAAGACTATTTTCTTTTCTCAGTGCATGCAGTTAATGTTAATCAACCATTATATCAGAGAATAATATAACTGAAATATTACTTACATAACTATGGCTTTTAAAGAAATCGGATGGACTAGTGGTGAGAATCTTGTCTCCTTCTAAACCGATTACTCTTTTACAAATATTTGATTTTGGATCACTTGGGCTTTTTGCAATTACAATGTCACCTCTGAGGAGAAAAAACGTTTAAAAGAATCATTATTATTTATTAAGCATAAACACTGTAAGACTGCTTTAATAATTTTATAAGGCAACTTAAAGACACAGCCTTTATCCTGTCACCTACTGACTGCAATGTATTTACCAAGTTTGAGAACCTTTGTAACTGACATCTAGGGGTCAGAATCCAATGGCAGTGATGGAAAATTAAAAATTCCTGATAATTTCTAATAATTCCATGAGAATTACATTCACTATGTGTTACTTCTGTACTCAAATTTTTAGAACCAAAACTATAGAAAAATAATTACAAATAAAAATCACTATAGCACTAAAATGTAGAAACATCATTCATTTCCCTAAAGCTCAAAAACTGAACAGCACATAAATTATATAATTCATATAATTATGTAACTCATAGTATACAGTATATATTCACATTTAGGGGTAAAAGTCAGAAGATATAATCAAATAAACTGCTAAGAGCTCAGTCTAGACATGGTGACATATATTTTTGACCCAAGCAATCAGTAGGCAGAGACAGGTGGTTCTCTGTGAGTTCAAGACCAGCCTGGTCTTCATAGCAAGCTGCAGGCCAGCCAGGACTACACAGCAGGACTCTATCTCAAAAAATAAAAATAAAAAAAATAAATAAACAAACAAACACACACTAAGAGCTGAGCAGACATATACTATCAAAATAGGATATAAAGTGTATAAAAACTAATGAATGAGTCATTACATTTGGAAAGCCTGTTTCATGGTAGAGATTACATTCTAGTTGGCAACAAGGAAAGAGGAAGGTCTCACAAGAGGCAAGGTGGTGCGAACCTGTCACCTCACCACTCAGGAGAGGCATGGTGGTGCGAACCTGTCACCTCACCAGTCAGGAGAGGCATGGTGGTGCGTACCTGTCATCTCACCACTTAGGAGAGGGAGGGTCATCATTTAGAGGCCCGCCTAGGCTACACATCAAATTCAAAACCAAGCTGAGCTACACAGTGAGTCTATATCTCAAAACACCCATATCCATGAATACCTATCACGAGAGAGAGAGAGAGAGATCCCAATGAAATAGAAAAAAAAGAACATAATGTTATTTCTGTATAAAAAAGAAAGACATGAATTGTTTACATATTTAAAAGTATTTATTTATTATATGTGCCTAATTCTAGACATGTTATAAAATTTGCTGTTGTTTATAATAAAAGATACACATGTCAAAATAGATCAAAACCCATAATCATAAAAGAAAGATATAATCCCAAAACCTAGTTATTAGACTAGTCAAGGCAGAGAATGCCTCTTACCCCTAGCACTTAAGAGCTAGAAGAAAGGAAATTCGAGCTAAACCTGAGCTATGTATAAGAGTGACCTGAGCTACAACACAAAACTCTTGTCTCAAAAAGCAAAAAAGAAACCAAATTATTGCTATATTATTAGCACTACAAGTTCTAAGCTTTGCAGTAGCCTCGCCACCCCCCCACCCCCCGAAAAATTCTTAAATTTTTAAGGCTGTGGATATAGATCAATGTTAGGGTTGCTTGCCTAGCATGCATGAGATGAAGCTCCAGGTTTGATTCCCAGGAACAATGACAAAAATTAAGGTTAATTACATAGTTACCATTAACAATTTAGTAGAAGCTAAGACAATTTTTCTCTAAGAACTGAATCAAGGAGGAATTCTTAAGAAAGGTTTTTATATGAAAGACACCATTTTTATCAGAAAGTTTATAGGCAACACAAATAGTATTGACAATGACCATAATTCAAGGCTACCTTTGATTAAAGTGTAATAGTATCACAACATTAAATTCTAAAACTTTGGAAAATGAGGCATTGTCTTCCTTTAAAAATAAGGTAATTATTCTTCTAGTCAATTAGAACCTGTCACTAGAACTGTTCATATGAATAATTTTGCAAAGATTTGAAAACTATTGATTTAGTGTGTCTTTGAGAAGAAATTTTTTTTAATGAGTGCTTTTTAGCTTAAGTTATCTGACCCAATAATCAGTAAGCTACTTGAAACAAATTCTGCACCTCACTAGCAACACTGAAATCATAATTCAGTCAAGTTGGTTTTACAGAAATCAGTATTACTCTAAACTATTAATATATTTCTGTCTAGTTATATATACATAGAAAAAAATCAAAGCACATATTCCTTTGATTCTCACCTCTTTTTAAGAGTTGTACAATGAACTTAATATCAGAGCCATTACTTAAAAATTTCCTTTCTCATTTATAGTTATACTAGGTGTGGTAGTTCATGATTATAATACCAGCATTTGGGAGGCTGAGGTAGGAGGATCACTGCAAGTTTCAAGTCAACCTGGACTATAGAGCAAATTCCAAGTCATCCTAGGGTACAGAGTAAGACTATCTTAAAACCCCCAAAACAAATAATTAAAATTTAAAATGTAGTTATAAGCATCCTTTCTATGTGCTAGATGGTGAGGTGTTCAAATGTCAATACCTCACTCATAATTGGATCATTCTCTATAATGTACTAGATGCTCATTGGCTATTTTTTGAGAGAATTAGTAATAGGAGACTGACAGGCTCAGGTATAAGGATTCTATGAAGCTGATAGAAAAGAGATCTATATGCTTTAGATACCATATTATTCAGACTTTTATTCTTGCCTAAAATTGAAGCCCTAGAAATGAGCAGCCAGCAACAGGACCTCTCACAAGTGTCAAAGCATCATTCCATTGAAATCTTAAGAGTTCTAGGTTTCTGCAAACATACAAAGTGATATTTTCAAAGTAGAAGTTATGAACTGCCTACCTTGTTCTAAAAGTTATTTTTGCCATGTCTCATACACATGCCAGATTTCAAGCTGTCTGACATATGCCCTAATGAGTCATCTAGATGAACAGAGCACAAAACGAAATCTTCAAAGAATCTTAATTCCATGAATGTATTATTTATATTACTCATCCAAATGCAAAGATTACTTAAAAAGAAGAAAACACTGAACTATTTGTTCAAAATTTTTTCAGTCAATGCAGCTCGTTAAGGATCTGTGGGACTGAGTGAAATCATGCTTGAGCAAGCGGCAGAAGCATGTCTTCATAGTACAGTGCAGCTAAGTCACTAAGCTATTCTGATGAAAGTCAGAAAGTCGAATAACAATACAGCCTGGTACATACATTTTATTTTACAAGCCTAAATTGTAGATTTAAATCTACAATTATATTCTTTGATGTTGTTACAGGTGAAAAATCAGAACACTTTCCAAGGGACCCTATTACACCATTCAGCTTGACTAAGACAGTTTTTTATACAGCATTAAGGGTTGGTGAAAGCTCAGTACAGGGAAAGAACACCTTTATACTATTCTTAATTTTCAATAATATGAAGTGGGCTATAGCAAAAGTGAATGGGAAAGGAATGTCTAAGCCTCCTAATTACACTAAAACCTAAATGCCACTGGTGGGATCTATTTTGTAGTTTCTTGAGATAAAAGCTGTCACAGATTTTCTTACATATTTATAGAAAATAAATGAAAAAAAATGATAGAATTTATACAGAGAGGTATACCTTCAAACTATACTAAATTATGAATACTTGATATCTATTCAGAAGGTATTCAGATTTATGGAATTAGAATAAACAATCACAAGGTTTTGAACTACCATTTGGAAGAGGAGTTTTAAAAGTTTAATTAAAAAAAAAAACTATTTGCCAAGAAGTTATTCAACTTAATTAGAGAACCACATCAGATAAAATTCCACATTCTCACCCACATATAATGCCATCACCTACCAATCACTGAACAGTTATTGCAGACTGTATAAAAAAATAAGTAAGACAGTCATCAATGGAGGTACAAGAAATTAACCAGAACACAGTCTATATGTCTCTAGCTCTTGACTTAAAACATTTTAGGAACCTATAAAAAAGATAACTAGGCTGGGATGTTTATTACAAGAAGACTGCTAACTATATTGGACAATAAGGTGAGACACTGTAAAGACACTGCATGAGCTCATTATTAAAGTGTTATCAAACAGAAAAATTTGACTCAAAATTTTGTCTGATTATTTATAAAAGGATTTTTGAACATAAGTTAAGAAACTACAGAAAAGGGGCTGAAGAGATGGTTCAGCAGTTAAGAGCAATGACTGTTCTTGCAGAGGACCTGGGTTTGGTTCCCAGCACCCACATGCCAGCTAACCACCATCCATAACTCCAGTTTCAGGGGATCCAATGCCCTCTCTGACCTCTGTGGGCACTGCACAACACTAGTGCACTTACACACATACAGGAAATACACTCATACACATAAAATAAAAATGATAATTAAATAAGAAACTATAGAAAAATACATTGTTCATGTATATTTTCACTATAGTTTAATATACTTCATGATAAAAAATTACCTTTGGATACCATAAAAATGTCGGCTAAGATTTTCTGCAAAGACAATATCTGAATTTTGAATTGTAGGCTCCATTGATGGTCCAGAACACTGAAAAGAGAGGTAATCTTTTAACTCTTTAAATTCAACAGAAATCATCTGGGTAGGCTTAAAAGAAAGAAAATTAGACAAATGTTCTTCAAGCTTGTGGGGGGTGACTTGTAATTTGGTAATTCTCTGAAAAATTTTAATCTGAAATGGCCACTAAGCCTGGAAGCAAAACATATCATAGTTTACTGATATTACTATAAAATACATGCACAAAGTAATATTCTGATGTATCCAAATTTGGGCCATCCTATAGAATGTCAAGTTCCATGAGAAGGACTGGCACCTTGTCTCTCAGTTTCCCAGCTATAATACCAAAGCCAAGAAGAGTACTTGGCAGAAGCTAATAGTTGGCATATATTTGTTGCATGGATAATAGATTTTCTTGGTATTCTCAAATAGCACTCAGTGACTGTGGTGGTGATTTATTAAGCAATACTATACTGTTCTCAAAGAACTGATGATATCCTTCCCATCTAAGGAAATGGCTTACTCAGTATGATGGGGTTTAGTTATATTCTCTACAGAAAATCACCAACACAATGAGATGTCCTCTAAAGACATTCATGTTTATAACTCAAAACAATAATCTTGATATATACTGCAAAACAGGAATAATCACTGCCACTTAAAAACTTAAATCTCTATCTACACTATCATTTATCTGTAAGCACACTTTTTTTCTCAAAGCTTTCTACTTAGGCAAAATAACAAAGAATACATTGAAAGTTTAGGTTGGCTACTTCTAGAAGTACAAATGTAACTTGCAAAAGTTAAGGAGGGAGCTAAATATTTATTTATATTACTTCGGCTCAAATTGAGGTTGTTAAAGCTATAAATCTGTTAGGATGACACTAATATAAAACAGAACATGGCCAGTCAATCAAATATTTGCCTAACAAAGATCTGAACATTCAGAATTGGAAAATTTGTGACTCAATACTTAGAACAAGCTTTTTCTTTCTCTTTCTTGAGACAGCATCTCACTTGTAGTCCTGCCTGTTGACCTGGAACTTGCTATGTAGACCAGGCTGGGCTCAAATTCAGAGATCCCCTTGCCTCTGCCTTCCGAGAACTGAGATTAAAGATGTGCATCATCATGTCCAGTGTTAACATTTTAATACTGATATGAACAGAATAATCATTTGTTTTAATGACAGTAGTACACCACCAACCATATTCTAGAACTCATAATAGTACTCAAATGATAACTTTTACTATGAAGTTATCCAGAGGATCTTTCGTCCCATTAAAAAACTAAACAAAAAGTCGTGGTTCGGTGGTTCTTCCATTTCATTTCTGTACCAATGCAAACACACTCTCTTTTTCCTTCTTTTTATTACTTTTTATATTGGGGGAGGGGCATGGGCACAGGCACTGCCCATGCCATGGAGTGCCTGTGGAGGTCAGAATAACTTCTCCTTCCACCCAGAATGGGTTCTTTCCTTCCACCATGTGAGTTCTGTGAGTTGAACTCTGATCATCAGACTGTGGCAAGGGCCCTTACCAGCTGAACACTGGCCCTGTATATGAGGTAGGGTTTGTTTTGTTTTGTTTTGTGGCCTTAAAGGGGTGGGCAATACTTGTGACAGAGCCTTATTATGTATCCTGGGCTAGTGTTGAACTCACTATGTAGTTCAGCCTAGCTCTGAACTCACAATTATTCTGCCTCAGCTCCTGATTAGAGGTGTGTGCCACCATACCCTTCTCCAAACACACCCCTTTATAACACAATATTTAGAAAGATTTTATGTTTTAATACCCATCAAATAACTCCAAGTAAAATGAAAAAGTAAGACACATTTATTTTCATTTTAACAGTATATATTTAAAGTTAATATTCTTAAATGCAGAAACTTACCATTACAACACCACCAACGTATTCAAAAGCACAATGAGCTATACATCCATACTGAATAGTATAGCCAACAAGTCGGAAGGTTTTTCCCAGAATACCTCGAAGCATAGTTCTATGTTGACTCTGCCACCACTGGCCTGATGGTAAATTTCAAATAGTTTCATAATCAGTACTTCTTAAAAACAATCACAAACAGCTCTACTGCAAAATATTTCACTAACACCCAGAATGCACTAAATGTGCGTACTATAGCAGGTACAAACCAGCAAGAGCTTATTTTCATTTCTGTTATAGGTACTTTAAATTATAGCCATGGATTTTGTTTGATTTTGTTTTTTGAGACAAGATCACACTGTGTAGCACCTTGACTAACTGGAACTTTCTATGCAGACCAGGCTGGCCTTGAACTCTAAGAGAAATGTTTGATCTACCAGACACTATATTTAAATGTCATTGACTTCGTGAATTAAATAACTAGTAGACTAAATTAGTCTGTCCTCTTCAGAATCTTGTGTATTCTTTGGCACTAATGGAGATTCTTAAGAACAAATACTAATTCTTCAAGGGGATATATTTGAAATAGCTGCACTTTGCAGCCTAGGCTGGCCTTGAACTCCAGATTCATCTGCCTTAGCTTCCCTAGATCTGGGAACACAGGTACATGCTATCACATCCAGCTCAAAGTAGTGATATGTTTTCATATTTGTTCTTTGCTATACTCCATCAGTCTTTATGTAATGAGATGTAATGGGAAAGCCACTTCAACAGTATATGAAGATTGAAGTATTTAATTGGTTTTTCATTAACTTGTATGATCCTTAATAAATAAAACCTTTATTAAAAATGGAAATAATAATATATCATAGAATGGCTTTGAGAATTGTTAAATAAAATTTAACAATATATGTCAAAGTGATCTGTAAATTAAAGTTACTTTTAATTAGGATAGAGAAAAACAGGGAAAACTAAGAAATCATGATGGAAGAAGAAAAGGGCCTCACACCTGCATAGCTGAGAAGCAAAAGAACTTCACAGACAAGACTATCAACTATGTTTACCTAAATTATAGTGTATGTCCTAACTTTCTTGAGCCCTATGCATAATTACTGCTTTGCTAGTTTTTTAATTTTTAAGGATTATTTATCATGTATGTGCATCTGTGTACATGTGTGCATCTGTGCACATATGTGTGGATGCCCACTGAGGCCAAAAGAGGGTGTTGGATGCCCTGAAGATGGAGTTAAAGGCAGTTGTGAGCCACCTCATGTTGGGTGCTGGGAGCTGAACTCTGGTCTTCTGGAACAGCAGCAACCCCTGGGGTCAGCCCTGCTTTGTAATTATTTCACCTATCTTTTTTTTATATGTCTGTAAGCCTTTACAATGCAGCTCAGAAGAAAGCACTTTATGATCCAATTTACTGAAGGAAGTTTCCTTAGATAAGAATAAATGCACCAAAACACTTTCACACAATCTTTTAAATCCTTTCAACAATATAATTTCAGAAACCATGCATTTATAGTCATCATCAACATACTTAAATCAGTCTCTCAATCTGTTTCTCACACACACACACACACACACACACACACACACATACACACACATACACACATACACACAACCATTATTCTTTTATGTCTCTCTTCCCTTTGCTTAATGCCTAAGCTTAAGTCTATGTTTAAAAATATTCTTAATAAATTCTAATTTTGCTCCATAACCACTTGTCCCAAAATTCTTTTATGCAACACAGGAATCTCAGCTTTATCTGAGATCTCAGAAAAGAAGTCCTCAGGCTATAAAAGACAGCAGGACAGGACAGCAGGGTCTGCTGTTGCTGACACAGCTGTCACCTATTAAAAATGATTTAGTGAACACAAAAATACTATAAGGCACAAGTAATATATATGCATATATAGACATATAAATTTATTTTCAGTGTATGTGTGTATGAATGATATGTGTGTAGGAATGTGGGTGCACACATGCTATGGTGCACCTGTAGAAATCAGAGGAAAACTTTCAGGAGTCAGTTCTCTCCTTCTACCATGGATTCTGGGGATCAAACACATCATCCCTCTTGCACAACTAGACAAGCCCTTTTACCTGTTGAGTCACTTCACCAACCCACAAGTACTACACATTTTTAAAACTATACAAATTTTAATAGAACTAAATTAAAACATTCTCAGTATCTATTCCTTTGTTTTGAATTACACTTTATAACTATTTCAAGCATTTCTCAACTAATGATCATTCTCACATTAAGCTTATTAAAATACATCAATAATGATAATGCACCTTTGCTGAGTATTTAATATGTATCAGGCTTTACAGTTAAATCTTTTAAGGCAGATACTATTACCATCTTCCATTTATAGACAGGAAAAATGAGCTTAACAGTAGTGCCTTAACATCGCAACATTGGCAAAGAGTTGGCTGGAGGCAGGAACTTACCCACTAGGTTACACAGACTCTCATATATTATCATGCTCTCACAACCACACTGGCTCCTTATTATAATAGATCAAGCCCAGATTACTTAAAGGATTTTTGACAGATGGTTCCCATTTCCCACATTCAAGGCTGGTCAACCATAATGCTCCTAAATGAATATTGAGTCACATTATTCAAATAAACTTTGACCAAAGAATGCTTATTTATACCAACACTGATGGCTGTAATGATCTTCACTATACCTATGATATAACAAAAATGGGTTTAAGGTTTGTCTCCTATTCTTGGCCCAGAACTCCTAAAACTCTTGGAACTTACCAAGTGGCAGGATCCCTTTGCCATCACAACTGACTTTATGCTAATAAAAGGCCTCTAAACTAGCCTCAGGATGGAGCTGCACCAAATAGCCAGCTACTAGAAGGCAGGAACTTTTAGCTATACCCAACTTCCAGGAAAGAAGAGAACTGAAGATTAAGCTCTATAAAATTCTTGAGTGAAGCAGAAACAAAAACTCTTGTAGGGACAAAGAAATTTGAGGAGCTTCTGCACATTAAAAAGCATCAGTATACCGGGAGAGTGTCACAACTGACACAACAGTGAAGGCCCATTAAGGGAAAACTAATTCCTTCTGGTCAAAAGGATAAAATCTCTGGGCTGTATGGAGAACTACATTCCAAGATGCCCAAATATAAATGAGGGCTGGTCAATCATCTGGCCAAGGGACCATCCCTTAGGAAGGTGGCTCACATTAAGCAATGCTAAAGAGATAGGTAGAACAATTATTCCTTTAATGGGATAGCTGTGCTTTTCCTTGTCAGAATTCCTGCCCCCTGGCAAAGTCCCTAGGAGCCATCATGAGGTTCAGCTGGGTCTGTCCACCTTTTGAAGTCCTCTTGCAGAAAGATCTAGCTTTTTTTTTTTTTTTTTTGGTCTCTTCGTTTCTGATTGTGGCCAGAATCTAAGTGCTTTTTCTGGTACTTTGAGTTTCCTTCTTCTTTCTCTAAGGCTCCCTTCTTCCATGCGGCAGCTCAGATGGCCTTGCTTTTTTTCTTTCCTCCTGACAGTTGCTGAGATTTACAGCCTGTCTGCCACGGGGGCTTCCCTTTCAAACTCTAGTAAAATTGTCCTCTTTGCTTTTGCTTGGCTTTCAAACTTTTCTTACCTTTTAATTCTTTAATGGACAGAAAAGAGGAACCCATTCATGCACCCCTAGATGGTATCACTTCATGAAGACAGAAGACCTGCACTTAAAGGCCCTACAGAGATGAGTTCCTCTTCATCTGACCATCTCCATCCTTCATAATGTCTCTTAGAACATTCTTGGGATGTCTGGAAAATGTTTTCACATTCAGTGAGCCATTCTGACAAACGATCAAACCAGGAGAAGTTGTGGAAACCAGATTTATATCTACTAAGAAGTACAGGAAGACTTGTGAGGAACCAAAATCTGAATGGAAACACTCTTGTAGGACCTAATGCTTTGACTTGTGGAACTGGAAGCAGCTAATTCTAAGTAGTATCAAAACTGAATAGAATTATAGGTTAGCTACTTAGCATCATACATCTAAATTCAGAAGCACTGTGTGTGTATCTGCTCACATCATTGCCGAGATGACAGCTGCTATGCAAGGGTGCAGTCAAATCCCCAAGGATAAATGCCCTCATGGAAGAATGATCTGTACTGGAAGGTTTTGCTGGTCCTGGACTCCAAAGTGAACACAGATTTATGATAATGACTGACTCCTGTGCTTTCAGCTTTAAAAACTAAAATTAAATAATATTACATAGACACTCCTTGACTGATTAACATGCTTAAGTACAGAAGACAAAAACCTTAAAAGGAAATAGAGACATCCCTTGTGAGTTCAAATAAAAAGTCAATGCTTTTTAGCAAGTTGGTTTCTGAGTAACTGGTATAATATGACTTAAATCTTTAAAGAATCAGTTCATCTAAATTTGTTGATAAGAAAAAACAAGAAATATCTCCAAATTTCCAGAACTGTGATTCAGATACAGTTTTCTGAGTTATCACTGAAATATAAAGTTATTTTATTTTGTGAAGAAAATTTTTATAAATTCAACAATTCTGAATTATAAAACTACAAAAAAAATATGATGGAAAGGAACCATCAAACATGAAAAAGAAGTATAAAAAGTTATAGGTATGGATTATAGTTTTGATAAAGGAAGTAAAAGGAAATACTTCCAGATAAGAATTTTGTATTGTAAAATGAGATTTGGTCCTAAAATAAAAGATTTTTTTCCATAGGAGAAAAGGAAAAAATTAACAAGAACATCATAAAAAAGTTCATGCAAGTTTAAACTTAAAGAAAGATGGCATGGGTACGGCTAAGTTGGTTATAATTGAAGGTTATTGAAATTCCTAGGACCAAAATTCAGTTCACTAATATAGAACTGGAACCTAATTCTATTTATCCCAATAAGGATTTCATACAATTTTACTCTGTTCTTAGTATTTACAGAGGACTGTTTAGAACAAAAGAATGTCATGTCTTATTCCTTTACTGGAGAGACCATTTAAAACCTGACAACTACGTTTCTAAATACCACCAACAGGACAATATAAATATGTCTTAATGTTAAGTCTGTATGTTTCCCCAACAGGTTAAAATCTTCCCTTGTCATAAAACTACCACCTCATCCATAAGGTAAATTTTATTAA